AGCAACGGCGCTGCAGGTAGGTACCTCTGGCCTCCGCCCAAGCTCTCTCTCTCTCTCTAGTACTACCTAGCTATGGCGCCCAGCGCTGGAGACTACAGCTACCTACTGCGCCCAGCGCTGAAGACTACAAGCTAACGCCACTACTCTACACTGCAGCGCTCCCTCCAGAGTGCTGCTCCCGAATCCTGAAGACTACAACTGCCGACTGCCTACCTCGGAAGTGCCTGGGAAGTCCTATGTACTACCTTGGCCTGCCTCCTGACTACTGGAGGCCAGTCAGGCCGAGGAGGCAGCTCTTGCCAATGCCGAAGTGTGCCAGGGGCTGGCGTGCAACGGCCTGCTTGAGGCTGGCGTGGGAAACAGACTATTAATAGTCTGTTCCCGAAACCCTGGTTCGGTGCCTGAGTTTCAGGGCCGGTCGTTCTGATGAAGGACCGAAAATGGCCCTTCGTTTCAGGCTAAAAATGCTGTTGCCATTCTTAGTCATTTTTAGCCTGAAACAACACAGGGACAGGCCCTGGAATTCAGGCTTTCGGCCTGAACCGACAGGGGGCCTGTAAGCCCTGGATTTCAGGCTTTCGGTCTAAGTTCAGGGCCTTCAGGCTTTTGGCCTGAAGGACGCAGGCCTGCAAAATGGCCTGCGTGTGCACGCGCAGCATGTAACAGTGACGGTGCTGAGACTCACCGTGCTGCATGGTTTTCCTTCACCGCCCTCTATACGATGGACGGAACCATGACCAGGGTACAATTTGTGCATCTGGCCTTAGATATTTGAGATTATGCATGAAGCAGGGGAGCTTGTCATTCTCGGCTACAACTCTCTTTTCTCGAGGAATCGGGATTATAGCAGGGGGCCAGGGGCTTCTTCAAGACCTGGTGTGGCAGGTTGTGTCTGCCAGCAGCAACAAGGCATTCGAAGCTGTCATTACAGGCCGCTCCTCAAGACTCGGTGCGGCCATTCGTAGCTGTGCACGATTGGTAGTTTCAGTCATCCTACCGGACTGTTTTTCTTGCTGGGAGTTGTGTCCGTTGCGGGTTCCGCGTGTGGAAATTGTATGGGCCCACTGTTTTGGAAGTGCTTTGAGGCCCATCTACAGTTTGGTGTATAATTGTATTTTTTGCTGTTGTCTTGCTTATGCAAGGATCATGAGTATGGACAAAGCACAGAAATCCAGAATGCAATATCACACTGAAGTCCAAGTATTCAAAGCCAAAGCAGATAGTACAATTGAACCGAGTAACCATCCAATTGAGAATGATACAGAAGAATCGTGAGTCAATGTGCATGCCCAACAGGGCAACACCAACAGCATAACCCAAATGTAGCTCTCTCTTGCGAATGGCGCCAGGCGCCCTATCTACTCTACAGCCTATCCTTACAACTACAGCAATGAAAGCAACCAGGTAACTTGACTACCAGCGAGTGATGATGTCAACACCAATGCCGTACTCCACCATCACCAGGTACGTGTCCTCTTCCCCACACTCTCCCTTGTTACCCACACAGCGCCCTTCACCTCCAAAGACCACCTTCGCCCTACACCCTCACTGCACCCTCATGCGGCCCGGCTATGGCCCCCAGTGCCTTGCATGCAGGCAGCGCCTAGCGCTTGCCTGCTTCACCTTAGCGCAGCGCTGCTCATGCATAGCGCAGCACACATGCATCCGCGCAGCGTGCCAGCAATGCCAGCATTGGCCCAGATCCTTGCCCACTCGCCCTGCTTGCCTATATGCCAGCGCAGCGTGTGGGCGGCCTCCCTTCAGCCTGTGACCGGGGCCCAGAGGCTGAACTCAGCCCGATACAGTTGGGCCCCGGGGTGAATGCAGTTGCGCCTCCTTCATCAAGGCCTGCGGCCAGATTCAGACAGTGGGCCGATTTCCCTTTGGCATTTTCGGCCTCTATACCCAGCATGCATTGTCGGCCTCACATTCGAGTGCCCATAGCCTAACTAACTCAGAGGCCCTGGGCATTTCAGCATTTGCTGAAATCCGAGACTCGGTGCACTCCAACCAACTGGCGTGCTGCAACTGTATGGACCCCACTTCGTGAAATGTTGGCACAGGGGGCTCTTGTTGATTTGCTGGCCCGCCTTCACTTAGGGCGGGCACGAGGCTTGCTGGGGCCTTAGCCCAGAACATGTACATCATGGGAAGGCCCCTTCTTGAGGGCTCGAACCTCACACTTACTTCTTTGACAAAGTGTTGGTCTTCGTTTCCTTTTAATTTCACTGTTTATGTGTTGGTTGGGTCGTCGCTGACCTTGTTTGGGGTTAATTTCAAAAGTATTGCTGTTTCGAAGTTTGGCAGCAAAACTGTCGTCCGTTCGAAGTTTCCTTTGCAAAAATAGAGGTTTCATTGCAGCTTTATCCGGTTTCCATAGTTTTCCAGCAAAAATGTCGCGTTTTGCCCAGTTTCACAGCAAAGGACCCCTAGGCCTCTGGCCTCAGGGACTCAGGGACTCAGCGTTCCGGCCTCAGGCACTCAGCTTTTCTCTCTTTTTTTTTCTTTTTTTTCTTTTTTTTTCCGCGGGCCGTGATCACGCCCGAGATGCCTCGGCCACGTTTTTTTTTTTTTTTTT